AGTAGTACTACACACACACACACACACACACACCTATATATATATATATATATTATAAACATTATCATATCATTATGGAAACGACAGTATCGTATCACATGTTGGGTGTAAATATTCGTACACACATCATCCAACATCCTAACCAATGTCCTCAAAGAACAACTAATATTCAACAACGGGTATCATAAAAAAATAAAAATTCTTATTTGAGTGATTTACACAAAATATTTACGATCAGTATGTGTTTGTATAGTTTGTGTAACAATATGTGTCAACTATGATGTATGTGTACACACGTGCTTTTATGCCATGTATTTAATTTCTGCTGTATGTCGCGCATGTTTGCCCTTGCTATTGTCTCCATAGGTGCAGTGCGACATTGTATTTGAATCGGTGGGGTTTATCGGTTCAAAAACAGTGTCGCACTGCACCGATGGAGACAATAGCAAGGGCAAACATGCGGGGCATACAACATAAATTAAACACATAGCACAAAAGCACGTGTGTGTACACATAAATCATACACACGCGCACATGCACACATATGAGAGATTGTGTGTTTATTTAAGGCTATAAATTAGAATATAATTATTACACGAGTATAGAGTTTACTTATGAATTTAACCTAAAATGTAAGATTCGGTCTCTCAAGGCGATATTAACGCCTTAGAATAAATAAACGCGTAGGTAAATTCTAAGTATCGTGAAAATATCAAAGTAAATAAACGAAATAAGAGTTTAGTAAAGTTAGGTATGCCTCGTGAAAACAGCAATACTCTGAGGGATTGTGAGGCAGAGACATTGCCTATATATAATCCTCTCAGTACTGTTTCCGCCGAAGGGATTTTATTTAGTGTTTCGTTGTCGCTCTATTAGAAACTATGGTATGTCTCATTGGGGCGAATCCGAGAGACTCATAAAATCCTATCTTTAGAAAAAGAAATAAAAAAAAGAAAAGTACTCTTGATGTCTATAGTTATTGCCTTAACCAATAACATGCCACTTATCGAGAATTACCGACTTAGCCTTCATCAGACTGGCACATCTGGTTGGCTGATCGAAGGATCAACTAGGTAACGTTAATAGTCCCTAGAAACCTATATTCGGTTGAGCCATCTCGCTACCGAAGTATTCAGATATAAATAAAGTTGGAAAGTAAATAAAGTTCTATTAATAGAACTAGACCAACTCTTTATGTTTGGTATTTCACTGAGGCCTTTTAATGGCCTCGTCCAAATTTCTGATATGTAAAATGGAAAAGGTATTAATTAAAAAAACCAATAAAACCCATTTTAGGAAACTTAAGTTCCTCGTGCTATTAAAAGTACATTTAGGAAACTTAAGTTCCTCGTACTATTAAAAGCAAGTTTATAATTTACATACTGCTTAAGAGTACATTTATAACATAGAGTCTAATGTGGAGGCCCGGCTTATTACAAACATACATCTCGTCATCGGACGACGATTCTGAATTGTTATGGGATGTAGCCCAAATCATGTGAGGTCCACGTATTGGCTGCTGTTGATCGTAGTTCTTATCGAAAACCTCGATAAGTACTTCAGAAGTACGAAAAGGGTTTCTTACCACAAATTTGGCATGAAATTCAGTGGTACTTTCCATGTACGTTTCCTCATCATAGTTGCTGTCCTGCTCAATGTTGGTTTTTCTGCTTTTACAATATCTTACGTGTAGTGGTTCCTCATTTACGATGACCACACTTTCGATATACAGAAGTGCTGTCATAAGATTTCCTTTAAATAAAAATCGACCAAAGCCCAACTGGACCTCACTGTTGTGCATCAGTTTCCAGCTCGTATTGGCATAGTATGCACCAAACCATCTTACAACATCCCCCAAAGTTCGAAGAGTGTGACCAGCAGCGGGACGTAGTAGAGTTGTCGTCGAGTTCGCAACTTCATTTGTATGCTCGTTGATGTTGTCACAGTCAGCTGATAAATTTAGTTGAGGTAGCGCATTCTTTTGGAGCTCGATTACACCACGTGGGGTACGCTTCATCATATAAGATCGGAAGTGAGATACACATATCCATCGTCTGTTCCTGAAATAGTTTGGAAAAGCTAGTAGTTTTCGGGAATAAACGTCATTCTCTCGTAGTTTTTTAACCCATTTCTGGCGTACTTCAGTATTTGCGGGAATCTCACTAGATAGGTTCTGCCTTTACACGTTAAAACACTACACTGTGGTGGCATGATAATTGATTGATACTACGAGTGATGAGTCTGTGAATGACAACATATATAATGTAATGATCTGTAATATATTCCCAGTTGTATCGCTGTTTAGACGATCACGTAATCACGTTGCCAGAATGTGTTAGCCAATAAGTATAATTTTGACCACTAAATTTCTATACAATTTTCATACTTAAGAAAGTGATATACCAATTTGACTACTTTCAATATTTTCCGTAGTCAAAAGAAGGTAGCCCCAACATGCGTTTTGACTTGCTGATGCTTTCATGTATCCCCGAATAGTCTATAAAGTGTTTTGTGTACTAATGTGACCTCGCTCGTAACGTATACAGAATTATAGGACATGGCGATTGAATAATATATAATAAGTACTATGTCACGATAATCTGCCATAAGTTGACTAAACCATTTAGCTTAAATTTGTTTCACAATATTGTTGAATCCGACTGACACAACTAAATATTCATCGTAACCGCCCATAATACAAGGTATGTGACCATCCACATACTTTCATTAGTTTTAGTTGATTACAGCACTCTAGGATTAGTATTATGAGTATAACAGCAAATTGATCACTACATGTGTGGGTTTTCGTTGACCACCAATATAATTGATAATAGGCATAGTGGTAACAATCCAATTTGTAATAGTAATTTTACAATGGAATTGGTGGTCAAAAATTCAGATAATTAGTATGTGTGTGTTTATGGATGTGTGTACACTTATGTATGAACATGTGTACTTGTGTGTATGTGTTTACGCATGTGTGTACACGTTTGTATGCACATGTATATGTATGTGTATGTGTTTACTGTATGTGTTTACGCATACAGTCACTAACAATTCGCTTTCGCGCTCATTTTATGAAGAAAGATAATAATCATGGTATGTGTTCTAATGTCGATTGCTTTATTATTTTGTCTATACGCAAGCGAATAGGTATGTGTACATGCAAATAGACATGTACACATGTCTATACGCAAATGTAAACCTATTATTATTTTTATTATATACTTGTTAAATTATATACTTATTGTTATACTATTGCAGATGAAGACTGTCTCCACTATGGTATATAAACATATGATTAAATATTTATTCTAATTTCTAAAGATACTTTATCAAGTACAGACAGTCGCACAAGCTTAATGGGATCGACGGATTTCACCCCTAATCCCCATCAGGCTTGTGTGCTGTCTGAAATTAAATAGTTGTCTCAAATATCATTTGCTTCATCTTCGTAACCTTCCAGTATCTCGGTCAATGGCGGTAACAGACTCGGCGAAAGTGGAACCTGTTCGAAGTTCAAAATCAGTTACTTTTAAATAAAACAGAGTAATTAATCACTTATACACTATTTTACATAAAGTATCACTTAATACAACAGAGTATACTTACCTTTGAATGATGCCTTTCGCTTTTTATCTTGTACGTTTCCGCTCAAATGAGAAGATACTTTCCGACCGACACGAAGTTGGTAGTAATCTGAACGATATTAAAGCAACCATGTACAGAAAAGGGAACTGGTATCTCAAACTATGCCAGCACTCCAATGCTTGTTTGCTTGGGTGCATCCGCTTTCTAACAGTATTGGTTCCTAATCCTCTCCCTATCTGAACAAATGTTTCTTTGGGTGCAACACAAGGCAGATTATCCCATGCATTAAGTTCTCTTCGTATTTTAACCCTGATTACTGCAGTACTCGACTCATGAAGTGGTGTCCCCTCCTATTCGCCCATTGCTGTGTAGAAATACGGCCTCCGGTCAGTCTAAAATATCAAGATCAATTGAGATAATACATTGGTTTTTATTTGTATTGTAAATAATTTAATACAAGCTCTTTTTCCAATATTTCCAAAGTGTTCTAAATGCACTTTGATGG